GTTGTCAAATGGTTTCAAGATCAATGAGTGTGACAATTGTGTTTACATTAAGAATACTCCAAATCAAATAGTCATTGTTTGTTTATATGTGGATGATATGTTGATAATGAGTAATGACATTGCTAACATAAATGCTACTAAGCGTATGCTTACTAGTATTGATATGAAAAACTTAGGAGTTGCCGATTTAATTTTGGGAATTAAGATCCTTCAAACTCCTCAAGGTCTAGCTTTGTCTCAATCTCATTATATTAAAATGGTACTTGAAAAGTTCAAATAGTTGGACTTTAAAGAAGTAAAAATGCCAATTGATTTAAACCATGCTCTTGTAAAGAATAAAGGTCAAAGCAAGTCTCAATTGGAATATGCTCGAGTGTTGGAAAGTTTGATATACATTATGAATTGTACACGACCTGATATAGCTTGTGCGATAAGTAAGCTTAGTCGATACACAAGTAATCCCAACCAAGCTCATTGGATTGCAATGAAATGAGTTTTGGGATATTTGAAATATACCCAAGACTATGCATTGCATTATAATAATTATCCCGCAGTTGTTGAGGGATATAGTGATGTAAATTAGATCACCGGATCAACGGAATTAAAATCCACAAGTGGATACATTTTTACCATTGGTGGAGGAGCAGTGTCTTGGAAGTCGTCCAAACAGACATGCATCTCCCGCTCTACAATGGAGTCTGAGTTTATAGCTTTATACAAGGCCGGTGAAGAAGCTGAATGGCTCCGAAATTTCTTAGAAGACATTCCATTTTAGCCCAACACATGTGGTACCTGTATGCATACATTGCGACAGTCAAGCAACAATAGGAAGGGCTAGGAGTGTTATGTATAACGGAAAATCTCGTCACATTCGACGAAGGCATAATACCGTTAGACAACTACTCTCTAGTGGAATTATCTTAATTGACTATGTAAAGTCAAAAGATAATGTATCGGATCCGCTTACAAAAGGCCTACCTAGAGAAGCGGTTGAGAAGTCATCAAAGGGAATGGGACTATGGCCGAGGACAAGTCACTGTGGCGGTAACTTTACCTAGAAGACTGGAGATCCCAAGATCTAGGTTCAAGGAGATCAAACAAAGTCATTAATGACGGTTCAACATTGTCAAATAAAATTTCTTTTTAGTCCATTCTCGTGATGAGACAATGTTCAGTACCAAGGATAAAGCATTAAGACTTTTTAATGGTTTCTAAATTTGATGCGGGGTATATCAAATAGTGTATCTATGGGATAGCATGCTTAGGAATCACCTATGTAAGTGTGAAGTGTAAGTCGCCTCAAGGAGAATTCTGTAAGGCCAGTTCTCTACGCATTTATGAACCAGGTGGTGTTTATGGCTGAAACGAACACAACAATGAGAACCAAAGACGGTTAAGGGTTAATTGTATGACTTATGGTTGTCTAGGTATACACCAAAGTTTGACGGTTCAAAGATATCAAATCTACCAATTGACCAAGTATATCCGACATAAGCTCACTACGGAAAGTTCAAAGGGAAACCTACTTATCTAGATGCGATTAATCCGTAATTGCGAATCACACAGTATTTTCATGCATGTTTTTCCACATATGTTCATTCCCCATTCATGTGGGGGATTGTTGCATTTTTATTAAGAGGTGTGAATGAGAAATGGAAGAGGCACCTCTTGGATTGCACCTCTTCATCTCACCCTTTCATTGGGGTATGAATGGGAAATGGAAGAAGCACCTCTTGGATTGCATTTTTTCATCTCACCCTTTCATTGTCTATAAATAGAGAGGCTTAGCCTCATTTTCCACCACTGAAAAATCTGAAATCTCTCCCCTCAATTTTCTGCAAACTGCATTGGTTTTTCAAAAGCAAAACGTAAGCATTTTGTGTGATTTGCTCCGCCATTTGAGTTCGCCGAAATTTTGTAATTTGAAGTGCCGCTATTACAGAATAGTTATTCCGTTCTATCCTGGGATGAATTAATCCGTAACCTTGGGCATTGTGAGGGGATTAAATTCCTTAAGGAAACACAAGAAACTTGTGGGCCCGGAATTTTTTCTGCTTTATTTTTTTCCTTAAACTAACGTTTATTGATTTACTGGTTTTGAATAGAGTGTGATAACAAATGTGCCTTTGTCAAGGAGGGAAAATCAAAATTTTATTTTTCCTTCCATTTCTGATTCACCCTCTTTTAAGCTCCAAGAGTCTTAAACCCAAAAGGAACATGTTTCTTCTTTCAAACACACTTAGCTAGAAATTAATTGAATGCCTGTATTTGATAAGTTCAGATTCATTGGAAAACTGAATTGATCAAACTCAAGTAATTAATTAGTTGCCTTAATCTGTTCGTACATGCAGAACTGACACGTAAAATCATAGGAATTACTATTTCTTTTAGTTAAAGGAAGCTTGTATGTAAATCACAGACACTTATTCCATGTCACAAAATTATAATGCTTCTTATTTCTCCAGGTTTTATATGGAAGCAACACCGGATTCAGGTCAACTGATAGCCATGCTCTTGAATCTAATAAATGCCAAAAGGACTATTGAAATCGGCGTCTTCACTGGATATTCTGTGCTTCTCACTGCTCTTACGATTCCTGATGATGGCAAGGTTAGTATAGCTGTTAAATCATCACTCAATATAGCCCCAAGTATCTTCACACATATGTAAAAAATTGGCAAATGTGTTAAATTGCAGATTATAGCCATAGATCCAGATCGAGAGTCATATGAATTGGGACTACCAGTCATCCAAAGAGCTGGAGTTGAATATAAAATCGATTTCAATGACTCTCCAGCTTTACCTGTTCTTGACAAACTCCTGGAAGATGTGAGAAAAACAATTAACTCATAATCTCAATCTATGTCGCGTATACTTTAATGTGATTTTCTTTTTCCTGATTCATTGCAGAACGTAAACAGAGATAGTTTCGACTTTGCATTTGTAGACGCGGATAAAACTAATTACGGAAACTATCACGAGAGACTAATGCAGTTAGTGAAAGTTGGGGGTGTGATAGTGTATGATAACACACTCTGGTACGGAACACTTGTGATGCCAGAGGAAAAGGTTGCCGAGTTGATGAGAACAGAAAGGAAATACTAACTTGAGTTAAACAGATTCCTCGCTGCTGATACTCGGATTCAAATTTCCCAAGTTTCAGTAGGTGATGGAATGACCATCTGCAGGAGACTATTTTGATGAATACTACTAGCTTTTTTAAATCCACAAGTACTCAGTTTTTCTGTTAGGTATTTAACAAATTAAAAATTCAAAACATGAGTTCTGTCCATTTACCCCTTGTTTGGACGGTTGTTACCCGTTGTATCGTATCGTATCGTTATTATAATTACAATGTTTGTTTTGATTGTTACTTAAAATTCGTTGTATTGTATTGTTAAATCCATTGTTATATAACAACGAAAAAAGCCATTTTACGTAATGATCGATTTGGTGTAGTCGGATCGTTAAGTATTTTTCTTTCCAACTATACTCTTATTTATTACTTATTAATCCTACTTTACCCTTTTCCTTATTTTATTATTTTAACTCCAAGTCCAACCTAAGCCTACTGTCTTCGTTCATTCTCCCGTAAGATTTTGGTTAGTTCTGCCGCTTTTGTTTATTATGGTTCTTCCATTGTTCTACTTTTTTTTATTCCTAATAATTGTTAACTTTTTTCTTTGATTAGGTTTCTGGTCTTGTTTTCAAGATACAATAATTGTTAACTTTTTTCTTTGATTAGGTTTTTTCGATTGTAATGCTAGGAAAGATATATCTATAAGTAAATACCCTATACGATATAATTTTGACTACGTTGAAACGTTTTTGGCTGATCTAGACTACGTTCTTTTCTTATAAAAACAAAACTTGTTTTTTATTAACTTCACTAGAATTTGTATGGATTGAATAACTTTATATATATATATATATATAAAAGACATAACTGGTGATAAATTAGTCGAAAGCAGTTATCTTAAACTACTTGATGAGTTATTGTTGATAAAATCTAAACTTTACTGCAATTAAGGGTATTTTAGTAAATTTATCAGTTACAGTACATTGCCATACAGTCAAACTAAATAATAAAACGATACAATCTATCCAAACATTGTATCCACAATACGATACGATACGATACGATACATCATGAAACGATAGGTAACAACCATCCAAACAAGAGGTTAGAAGAGGGTCTATCGAAAACAGTCTCTCCACCTTCATAAGATAGAATTAAGGTCTGCATACATAATACCCCCTACACACCCCATTTGTGGGATTCCATTGAGTTTATTATTGTTATATGGTTCTGTCCATTTAACTCTTTAAATTGCCGAAAAAATCTTATCTTGCAAGCTGCTGCTCTTCTGAATTATTTGCTCTAAATTGAAGATCATGGCAAAAAAAAAAAAGTGTTTTTGGGAGGAAAAAAATAGAATATGGGATGAAAGTTAACACTTGTTTCGATACTTGGAAGAGGAAAAATGGTAAAAAAAATAATTTTCTTCTTCTTGATTGAGGGAAAACAGCGTGGAAAAGTAAACAAATTGGTGTTCTAGTTAGCGAGAGCCTCTCACTTTTATTTTATGAATCAGTAATGCTAATACAATTCATATGAAATAAATGAGAAATGCATTGATCCACTTGGGGTTGGGACACAAAGAAAGGTATGTTTTGGAAGGAAAGGAAATAAAATATGAAATGAAGGTTAAACCTTATTTAGATACTAGAAGAAAAAAATTATATTCCTGTTTTATTTATTATTATTCCATAGTAGTATGTCCACGGTGTTTTTTTTTTCTTTTCAAAATGTGTAATTTTTTTTTTGGTAATTAAAAATTATTATTAATCACCAAGGAAAACATTACAAAGCACTAGTTGTTCTCTACAAGGAGTACCCAAGACCTAAAACTATCTGTTCCTTCTAACCCAATACAAGTAATATCTAACTAAGCACAAAACAAAACACTATGACTACTTTTCTTTTTCTTTTTTTTTTTAAAAAAAAATTATAGGTTCTGTATCAGCCCCTTCACTTTTTTATCTGCCCTAAAGTAGCACATGCTCACAACCTCCCTTGCCAGTGCTTCATGTTCTCTGCTTGCACCCTCAAATATTCGAGTATTTCTTTCTCTCCATAGCACATATATGTATTCAACATACATCATTTTAAGTAGCATTGCTGAAGCTGTCTTCCCCTTTGAGTGATGAATGATGAGCTGGAAATACTGTATCCAAATGTTGGGAACAATGGAGTGGACTTGAGCCCATTGAGATAACCTGGTCCATAATCTGTTGGCATATGCACATTCTGCAAACAAGTGTTCCCTTGTTTCCTTATCAGCCTGGCACAACACACATGTCTCATCCATATGGAGACCCCATCTCTTCAGCCTATCTTTTGTTAGCAGCCTTCCATGGTTCTGTATCCACATAGTAAATATGGCTTTAGGTCTAGCATTGTTCTGGAACATTAAGCATCTCCAATCCATCTTAGAGTGAATTGGTATCAATTGTAAGTATATGTGCTTAATTATAATCGTTTGCTCATCCAGTGGTCTGTGAAGTTGATTGATTATCTGTTTAGCTTCAAAGATCTTCCTGATCATCCAGCTTGCACTCTGAGGGATGCTCATATCATCAATCCTTTGCCTTTTAACATAATAAGCATGGATCCATTTGATCCAGAGCTTATCTTGCTTATGAGTTAGATCCCAGTAGGTCTTGGCAATTGCAGCACTATTCCACACCTGCAGATTAGTAAGGTTAAGTCCCCCTACAGATTTAGGGAGACATACCTTTTCCCAAGCAAGCAATAATTTTTTGGTAAGCACATTTCCACCAGACCATAGGTAGCTTCTGCAGTAAGCCTCAATTAATTTGACAATCTGAACTGGAAGTGTAAACAACTGAGCCCAATAAGATTGTATTGCGAACAACACTGTTTGGACCAACTGAGCTCTGCCAGCATAAGATAATTTTTTTGCTGTCCAAGATGTTATTTTTGCTACCATTTTAGTAATGAGGGGCTGCAACTGAAGAATGGATAGCTTTTTAGTGTCTAGTGGAACCCCTAAGTACTTAAAAGGTAATTGCCCCTCAGTGTAACTAAGAGCTTGAATGACAGCTGCCTTTTGCATAGGATCCATGCCCCCACAATAAACTGCACTCTTTGACAAATTAGCATGTAGTCATGAGGTAGATGAGAATGTCCAGAAACAGTGATAGAGCCTCTGCACTGATTGTAGCTCACCTCTGACAAATAGTAATAAGTCATCCGCAAAACACAAGTGAGTGATACCAAGCTTGCTACATCGAGGGTGGTATTTAAATTGTTTATCTTGCTTCAATCCTTTGAGTAGTCGACTCAGATACTCCATAGCAATAGCAAATAAGAATGATGACATTGGGTCTCCTTGCCTCAAGCCCTTAGCTGCATTAAAAGGCTCTGCTGATTCTCCATTTAACAAAATAGAGCAATTAACTATTGTCACACAAGCCATTATTCATTTTATAAACTTCTTAGGGAAATCCAGTCCCTCAAGAACCTGCTCTAAGTATATCCATTCTACAGAGTCATAAGCCTTCTGTAGATCCATCTTTATCATGCATCTAGGAGAAATATGCTTCATGTTGTATGACTTAACCAGCTCATGAGCTAATATTATGTTGTCTGCTATTCTTCTCCTTGGAATGAAGCCTGCTTGTGAGTCAGAGATGATATGATTCATAACTTTTTGCATTCTTCCAGTTATGACTTTGGCAATCAGCTTATACAATATTTTGCAACATGCTATGGGTCGATAATCCTTTACTGTATCTGGGTTGGCAACTTTTGGCAGTAAGATGAGAGTGGCGCAATTTATGGCCTTATATAGGATCCCTGTATCAAAGAATTCCTTCACTGCTTCACAGACATCTTTCTTGATAATGTGCCATGATCTTTTGAAAAATAAAGCATTGAACCCATCTATCCCTGGGGCTTTACAGTCCCCAATTGCATTCAGTCCTTCATAGATTTCAGCCTCTGTAACATTGGCACACAAATCTTTCTGTTGCACATGTGATAGACAAGGACCATTCCTCATAACCAATCTACTGACATCTAGTAAGCTAGATGCTGCTGTTCCCATCAAAGATTTATAAAAGTCAACAAATTCAGCTTTGATTGCTTTTGGTTCTTGTAGTTTAGCACATGTTAAGGAGTTGATCTCAAGAATCTGCTTCTGAGTTTGCTTTTCCTTCATTATGGCTGTGAAATATTTATTGTTTGAATCACCCAGTCTAATCCAAGTAGCCCTAGACTTTTATTGCAGTGCACTTTCCTCTATCATTGACCACTTCTCCAATTGATGTAGGCATTCTTTCTCCTAGTCAACTAGAGTATCAGAGTAATGGCTCTCCATTGCTTCTTGAATCTCTTTCAAATTTTCTTTGGCTTGTGTAATTTTCCCTGAAACTCCTTTAAACTCTGTTGAGTTTAGTTGCTTAAAGACTGGCTTCAGTTATTTCAGCNCTTGTTTCAGTTTAAACCACACATTCCTCATCTTTCCAATTGCCATAGTTCTGGCCCATCCTTGTGCTACAATTTGATTAAATTGTTCATGATCTGCCCAGATGTTGAAGAACCTAAAGGGAACTTTAATGTTGTTCTTTGGCTCTCTCAGTGGTATAAGCATAGGATTATGGACTGAAATGAATGGTTCTCCATAGGTTACATTCAAGTGCCCATATTACATCATCCACTCATCATTTGCAATTGCCCTATCAAGTCTGCTCCATACTCTATCATCCCCTCTTTGGTTGTTGGTCCATGTGTAGTAATCTCCCTTCCAAGGTATTTCAGTTAGCAGCAGATTATTGTAGCATTATGAGAAGTCTTTCAATTCAGCTATAGTTACAGAATTGCCTTGTCTATCCTGAGGAGTTAGCACATCATTGAAATCTCCACATAGAAGCCAAGGCATCTTGATCTTGGGAGCCATCTGTTCAAGTTGAGACCACAAAGTTTTCCTTTGATCTACTGTATTGAACCCATATACCGCTGTAAGCATACAAACCATACCATTCAGTTTACCAGTCACCTGACAATGAATTAGTTGGGCTGCCTTTGCTATGAGTTGAACTTCATAGCTTTTGGCATTCCACAGAATCCATATTCTCCCATTGACTGCTTATGTATAGTTAGTTAGTCTATCCCATTTAGGATCCACCTTTCTAGCTATAGACTGTGCTTTATTTTCTTTGACTCTAGTTTCTACTAAACTAGCTAATCTGATTTGATTATCTCTGAGATACAGCTTAAGTTCTTTTTGCTTGTACCTCTTATTGATTCCCCTAACATTCCAAAATAGCCAAGTCATTGAGATACTATGAGTTCACCTCCTATATCAGAGGTCTAGTGTTCTCATCCCTTAGTCCCTCTGCAGGCAAAGCTTGGAAACCATTCTTGGTCACTATCATCGCTGCATAAGTTGCATTCTGCTGCCTGTCTTGCCCATATGTTATTTCCTGTTGTCTACTTGATTGATGTTCAGGCAATTTCTGACCTGAAGTGGATCCTTTTGCTCGCACCTGAGTCCAACCTGCTTGAGTGGTCTCAGTAATTGCAGTCTCAAGTTTCTGTTTGCCCCTTTCATTAGTTTCACTCTGATGCAAAGGTTGTTGTTGGTTCTGCATTTTTTCCACTGGTTGTTGCTTAGCTTTTGGCTTCCATGCTTGAACCAGCTTAGGTCTGGCTCTTTGCAGTGGGCCATTTCTCACTTCCTTCTTTTTCTTGCTACAGTCATGGCCAATCTGTAAACACTCAGCACAGAATGCTGGCCTCCATTCAAATTCAATATGTTGCTGAAATTGTCTACCAGAGGTATCCTTAATTGTTACTTCAGTAAGCAGCTTCTTTGTGACATTTACTTCTATCAGAATTCTAGCATATGACACCCTGGTTTGTTTTGTTGTGTCTACAAATAATGAATTACCAATAGTGCTAGCCATTTTGCTTAGTGTATTTGTGCCCCAACAGTTCATCGGAAGTTTTGGAAACTTCACCCACAATGGAATTTTTGTCAAGAATTCATCATTGAAATCAAAATCCGGAGTCTATTGTTTTAGAATGATTGGTCTGCTATTGATGGTATAAGGACCACCATACAACACTTCCTGCAAATCGTCTAGGCTCTGAAATTTGACAATATAATATCCCTCTTCATGAAGAAACAAATCTGGTTCAGCCACATTGTTCCAAAATTGTGAGATGTATTTGCTCATATGATTGTACCCAGCCATTTCCCTAATTATATAAACAATAAGAGCTTTCTTCCATTTCTCAGTTTCACACTCAATTTCAGTTTTATCTAAATTGACGACAAACTGTCCATTCTTAATTTCAGGTGCAATGCAAGTTAGGAGCATACCATTCTCAGCAGAGCGATTTCCAGCAAAAAGAGTTGTCCATGGCGCTGCGGGTTTTGTCGGAGCCTTTTCATTTGCATGTTGTTCTCCTCCCTCAGCCCTAGTTACTGGTGTAGCACTTTATTCTCTTATCTCCCCAGTGGAAATTTCTTGAGCAGCAGGATTTGAAGTCATAATTGGTTGATTTAGTGTTGTATTTGGTGTTGCATGTGGGCTTAAGATCAGTTTCTTGTGCACATCTGGGTTAGTACTCTTCACCCCCAAATCGATTGACCTAGCTGAAAATGGGTCGCCAATCGGAGTTACCACTTGCTGTGAGCTTCCTCTTTCGATTGTTTCAGCAATCACACTTGCGCTAACAGAGCTACCTACGATCACGAGTGGTTGTTTTGCAGGTCGTCCTCTCTTCCTAGCCATGGCGATTCACAGATGGCGCACGATAGCGTATCATGCGCCGGGAGCACCAAGGAGAGAATTGTAAATGAAATGTGTTAAAAGAAATGTGTGGTTTTGGATGAAAATTTCCTATAGTGTGTAAATGTTTTTTAGAATTTTAAAAATATATAAAACACATATGTAAAATGCGATTTATAGTTGTTTTAAATTAGCTGAGACAACAGACGCTCTGAGAAATATCATTAGCTTAAATCGCATTTTGAAAATATAATTTATAAATCCCATTTCAAAAATGTAACTTATAAAATTTTGAGATTCACTTTATAAATCCCCAACATAAATAAAAAATTTTATGCAAGTATTGTATATTTTTAATACTAACATGGAAATATAAGAATGTGACATTAATGCATTTTTTAAATTAATTGACCATTTATTATATCGTTCAGGAATAATTATTTTTCAAACAAGATAAAGGGAATAGTAATTGTATTTAATGCGATATATATATATATATATATATATATACACTTTAACACCTAAAATGCAACTAACCGTATCTCAGAACGCGACTTATAAATTGTATTAATAGAATGCTACTTACAAATCGCATTAACGGTAGCGTGGTAAATCGTACTCCTATTTAAGAATCCCACATTTTTGGCCAAGTATTCCTTTGGATCTCTCTATTCCTTATTCTCAGCGACATTTCTCCTAAAAACTCGAAATCGAAAACCAATCTATAGTCCACACCGGTCATTCCACTAACTCCAGTCGTCAACGTTTTCTTCGCCGGCCCGACAACTCACTCTCTCCCTCTGTCGCCGAAAAAATTACTTCGCCCCAACAAGTCGTAGTGTTCAAACAAAGGCTCAAAGTGGAGGAGACAGTGGGACATAGGATATGTCTAAAAATGTTCAACTTTAGAATATCAAACTCCTTTTATTCCTCTTAAAGTGAAGGCCACTGATCAGGAAACACACACACAAATTGTAGCAAACAGTCATGATTCTTTCTTTATATAAATATATGAATAGCACTGTACATATGACACGAGAAATAGAAAAAATATTTTTCCATACCATCTTTCTTGAATTTCTACATAGTATAAGGAGCAATACCTCAATGATTTTCTTTCAATTTTACATTCCAAATATCTTTTCATTTATTTTCTTTGAACACCTATATAATGAGTACTGAAGAACAGTTTTCCAAATTCAAAACTGAGATTGACGTCTCACATCCTTATTTCCTCTCCTCCTCTGATTCTCCTAATATGAATCTCATCAACACTACCTTTGATGGGACCAGCTATGAAAATTGGAGAAGGGGAGTCCTTATCTCATTATCTGCCAAAAATAAATTGGGATTCATCAATGGAACCTGTGCAATGCCAAATAAAGATTCATCTCTATTAGTTCAGTGGACACGGTACAATGATA